AACTGAGCTTAGTATGAGACGAGCCGATGACAGTTGGTTGCAGTTGTCAACCTATACTAGGGAAAAAAATATCGCGCTGGCCCGGGATTCCCCAACATTCCCCACCTTCCCCTACTATAAATTAGTTTACTCTGAGAAAAATTTAATTCGTTTTGAGAAATTTTTTAACATAAAAAATATCAAAAATGGTTAATAAAAAAAAAATCAAAATACACCTGCAGGAGCTACAAGCTCAAAAATTATGATGAATTGATCTCCGATCAATTAAAACTAATAAAAGCAATTGCACATACTCCACATTCGAGAGTACAGTTGCCACAGGAAGACAGACAGAAAGCAAGTTCAGGCATCCACCTGGAGGTGTCCGCATGTGACACAGAAACCTTTTACGGAGGTTATGAAGAATGGTCGTCCTTCCGGCAAATGTAAACATTCTCAATTATAACAAGCGCAAAGATTTTATAACATCAGATACAAAACTAAAGGTCAAACAGGCGTAATAGTAAAACAGTTCTCTCTTTATGATGACAATGTCAATTTGCTTGGGAAGCTCTAAAAGCTAGATATGAAAATGAATGATTTATGCAACTGACCAACTTTTTCAACGCGCATTTTTTAAAGGGGGGAAAGACGGGGAGATTATTTAAGCTTATGTGTTAAGTAGAAACCCTGTAGTTTACTAAGAAAAATAATTCATAGCATGACCTCGCCCGACGCTGTAATAAAAGCACTAATTTCTAAAAAATTAAAGTTTTTTTGTAATTATTCATTAATAATATATTAACTAAAATAATTTGTATATCATTAATATTATATACATATCATGTTGTTCTGAATACATGAAAAATAATTTCAAAGTTCCGTTCACCACATGTAATTTCGAGAACAGTGAAGAGTTTCGCAAATAAGCTCGTGCGTTCTGAACAAAGTCTAGGTTCCGACTACTTRTGTGGGGATATAGCGGCCTGAAGGTCATTCATTTAATCGGTTCATTGTAGAACGGTTATTTAGGTAACAAAAAAAAAATAATAATAATTTTGAGTACAGCCCCATAGAGGCTTCAATTTTCAAAATTAAATTAAATCAAAAAAGAAGTTAAGGGATCACCATACTCCCAAAATGATACATGGACGCACCTACACTTACAAGGTGCTAAGGTCGTTCTTATCGCATCTATCCTAGCGCTCCTCATAGAATTATCTGTACAAAGCTTCAAATTAATTATGAAGAATTCTCGGCGATTCGTTCTCCATTCACAGCCACCGTCTCGCAATATCCTTCTATAGTCACATTCCTAACCCCAGGGCTAAGGAGTATCCATTCTGGCCATATCAGAGTCAGGGGTGGAGTTACTATCCTTCATAAGCCGAGAATAAATTAAATGCAAACAATTGCCGATCATACCAAAAGGCAACTAATAAACAACCGGTATGGCAATTCGATAAAATAAGAAAGCAAACAACCTTTTTGCTATAATAATACAGTAACTCGTCCAAACACGCAAAAGCAATTACTATCAATACTTACACAAAATACAAATTTCTTTTAAAACCAAAATCGATTCTTACAGCTAATATTCTACGCCCTCGGCTACTCCACCACCATTAAGCCGAATTACATGTCTCAAATTATATACATAAAACTAGGCATAAAATTCGCCTAGATAGCCCACTATGTTTAAATGAGTTAAGCATCCACCTCCTCTACCCGGTAAAACACAGAAGCGCAATTCACCTCAGCTGATGGCACTACAATACGACTCAACACATCTGTACACCAACTCACTCAACAAAGAGGATGGGCAACGAGAAAGCAGTCACTTTGTCACACAGATTCGTTTATATTGCATTAGCATACACACACACTGTCTACGCTACTCTACCGCAATTATACATTGCGATCTCAATACGTGAAAACTCGATCGGCAGCACCGCCAATTCATGTTCGGCATTGGTTTAATATCGGCACAAGTATAGCGCCTACGACGGCTGAATAAAAGTACAGGATACAGGAAGCTTTCACAATTGTTCGGCAAAATATGGAGAAAAAGTCGACGGATTAAGACCGCTTTTATAACCTGAGTCGTGGAAGATGCCTCCCGAGATCGGAGAGCTAGTTCTCGCGAAGAAACATCATTTTTCTAAAGCCGCTGACTGTTTCGCCGTAAAATTAGCCCTGAAGTACGATGACCGTTATAAAATTCTCAGAGACATTACACCAGTGATCGTACATGTTCGAAAGATCGACGGTGACAAGGAGAAAATAGTGAATATCAGCGACTTAAATTTGTTCAACACTGCSGTAGCAGTGTAAAAACAAAAAAACAAAAAATATATATATCCTTTTTATTTTAAACGAGTATCGTCACAGACCAAACGAGCAGATTAAATTCATTCATCCACGAGCCGTCAGCAACACAATACATCCAAAGTAATTTCGGAAGTATAGGAAGATGAACAACGAAGAGAAGTGGACAAAAAGAGTCAAACATTCTATGAATGGATGAAGGAGAAAAAGGGAAAGCTCCCTAGGACACAGGCACTGGTGGCAGCGTCCACCTCAGGCACTAAAAGTGCCAGATCAGCACACGCAGACTTCAGGCAGGCAGCGACATCTAACGCGCCACACACAGGTATCAACATTTGAATTTCGAGAATAACTGTAAGACGTACAACAACAAGAGAATAGCAATGATTGCGGTATCATGCGCTATATAGGATGAGGTGAAGGAGCACTCGGATGCATCTCCGAACGCTTCACGTCAAAACTGGCAGCAAAAAAGCGAGCTCATATATTGGCCACTTTAGATGCAACCAAACCACAACCGCGACCAACGTAATAGTATCGCAACCACCCGCCGAAGTAGAGCTACCATCTGAGGGCGTCAAAATATCCACCGCCGATTCCAAACGAACAGCACTGAAGGCTTTCCCTAAAATCGCCGGCAGAATCCGAAGAAGCCTCACGGACCTCTCAAGTTGCATAGAGAAGCACCGATAAAACCAGTTCTATAGCTTCCACATTGGCACTTCCTCGGCATGTAGATGCCTAGAGGCAAGTGGGTTCGTGATTTTTTTGAAAACCCCACTAGAAATGAAAAGAGTTTCTGCAGACTTCCAGGGAGGAATGACTACTCTGTAGGTTTTTAGTTTCGGTAATAACTAATTATGAATGCCGCCATATGGTAGTATATTTTGATTTCCTGCAGACAGCGTGTGGATGTTTTATCATGTATGATAAGGCCATAAAAATCTTCCTCAGTATCATGAGTTTTGTAACATTCAATAAATAGTAATTTTTCATTCTACATATAATTTTGAGTAAATTTTTTTTTTTGAAAGGTCGTTGTATAGGTCTTCGATTTAGTGTTTCGAAGTGAGTTTTTGATCAAAGGTTATTCGTAGGGTTTTAAGATAGATCACTCTTTCAATAGTACGATAGTGAAACACTGCAGCCGGAATGTTGCAGTTCGCTTCTTGCATACATGTAGGTATCTTTTCAAAATTAATAGAGGCAGCATATCATTAAGCAATTCGCAAATAAAGTAGACAAGTTTTTCAAATCATTATTAAAAGTATTTACATTCTTTATCTTTGAAATGAAATAGCAAATAATCTGCAAATAAATAGTGGGATATGTTATTAACATTTTCTTTTAGGGCATTTAGTTTTTCAAATGTGATTACAAATAAGTCTTCAATAGGGGAGAACCGTATCATAATCCATTTTCAATTTTTTTTTAAAGTTTGGTTTATCTCCGATTATGTTGACCGCAATTGTTCTTTTTTTAATAAATGCTTTTGTATAGTTGTAGATTTTGGAACCAATTTTCCACTGACCGAGTTGATTGATTATAGAGCGGACACCTATACGAAATATAAAGGGATACCCAAATTATTCCAGTGTGAAAGCGCCTCAAAATAAGCATTTTTTGTATAATTTTCCACTGTAGCCAGATCGAGCAAAATAATGATTTTTGGGCATTTAAATAAAAACAATCAACATTTATTACAATTAAAAATTATTTCATATTGGATTATATTTCATTTCTATGAAATAATAATATACGAAGAAATGGTTCAGATCAGCCTACTATAGCATATAGCTGCTATACAAATTGAACGATCGGAATCTAGTGCTGGTATGGAAAACTTTTGCATTTGAAAAGATTTATTCACGAAATTTGTTATAGACTATTTTCTAAGGCAACGATGCTATATCCGAAGAATTATTATTATTATTATTATTATAGCATATAGCTGACATAAAAACCGAACGATCGGAATCAAGGGCGTGTATGGCAAACTTCCGCATTTGACGTAGTATTTTCACGAAATTTGATATGGATTGCTGCTTATGGTAATAATATAATCTCTGAAAAAAATTTTTTGGAAAGCTCATTTCACGCACTATTTGATTGATTGTTGTTTCTTTTAAGTCGTTCGTTAGTTGTAGCGTCGCAAACATGGAGCAAAATAAAAAGAAAATACGGCATATTTTACAGTACTACTWCGATAAAGGCAAAAATGCATCTCAAGCCGCCAATAAAATTTGTGCCGTTTATGGACCCGATACAGTTTCCCACCGCACAACGATGGTTTCAACGTTTTCGTTTTGGTGTAGAGGTGGTCGAAG